AACAGACCGTTCTGCTGATCCGTGTTTTTTGTGAGAGACTCCCTAATTTGGGGATAAGATCCCATAACTAAGTTTGAAGCCACGCCTCCTAATGATGGGGTGTCACTCAATAGAAGGGGCGCGTTTGTGGTCTTGGTCTAGACTACTTTTTGAAGCTTCATGGCCAACGTCTAGGTCCTCCTCAAGGAATCCTAGGGTGGTACTTGGGAGTTGTACCCGAAACTTTTTACCCTAAACATGCTCATATAGATGGTAGAGTCCCCTCCTATTAATTTAGACACCAAACACCACATAAAATATGCAAAGGTACACTAGCACACAGAAGGACTAGTTTCCTAACGTCTTGGTCGTTCTTTAATGTTTGACTTTCAAACTCTTCAAACTGAACCTAAACCTATTATTCATCATTTTAATACCTTATTAACTCATAACACACATGATACACTCTAATTTAACCTAGTTCATTTTGAGGGTTGTAACATCTAATGAATTTGTTTCTTTTTCATATGTGACAAGACTTATTGTTGTACATAACACTCCCAATCCTTACTATTGCAGCTTGCCTATCATAATGTACGCATGTAAGTTCTATTGATTTAGGTAAAAATAAACTATTTTTCAAGAATTTGCTTAGCCATCCAGGTTGTTCGTCGTCCATGTCTAAGGTTGTGAACTTAGAATCCATTGTAGAGAAAGCTATCTATGTTTGTTTGGATGATTTTCCATATATTTATCCTCCGCCAATGAAAAAGAATGTCCACTCATGGAATTATTTTTAGCACGGCCCAGTAATCTAATTTGCTTCATTATATCCTTCAACAACTTTTAGATTCTTTTTGTAATGCAAAGCAAAGTTTTGAGTGTCACCTAAGTACCCTAATACTCATTTCATTGCCATCCAGTGACTTTATTTGGGATTACTTGTGTATCGACTTAATTTATTACAGCAAAAGTTATGTCTATCAGTGTACAACAATTCATGAGGTACATCAAACTTTTCAAGACTATGACATAATCTAATTGAGATTGACTTACACCTTTCGTCTTGGTGTGATCAATGTTCAATATCAATTGATGTTTTTTTACTTTTGAAGTTTAAGTACATAAATTTTCAAATACCTTTCAAATATAATGAGATTGAGAGAATTCAATATTGTGAGGAGTTTTATGAATCTTAATTCCCGATATAACGTTAACAACTCCTAAATCTATCATATCGCACTTACTAGCAAGCGTATGGTTAATAGTATTTATATTAGCAATATTTTTACTCCTTATCATCATATCATCCAAATATAAGCATACAATAACCACTCAGTTTGGAGTGACCTTAATGTAAAGACATTATCATATTCATTGATCTTAAATTCATTCGTCAATATGGTTTTATCAAATTTTGCATGTCATTATTCGGGTGCTTGTTTTAATCCGTAAGTTATTTAATGAGTTTGCATACTCTTGTTTTACCAGGAACCACAAAGCCCTCATGCTATTCCATGTAAATTTCTTTCTCCAATTCTCCATTGAAGAAAGTTATTTTTACATCAATTTGATGGATTTCAAGGTCATATACTGCAACTAGGGTAATTAGCATCCAAATAAATGTCATCCCAGATGTTGATGAGTATGTGTCAAAATAATCAAGACCTTATTTCTGTCTAAAGCCTTTGACAACAAGTCTCTCTTTGTATTTGTCAGTAGTTCCATTAGCTTGCATTTTCCTTTTGAAAATTTATTTTGAACCCAAATATTTGTTTCCATGAGCTAAATCAACCAACTACATCTATTGGTTTATGATGGTAGTGTTTGAGTTCTTGAGGACTTAGCTTCATAAAGTGGGTCTAGATTAAATCCTACTAATATAGCTTGAAAAAGCAGAGGTATTGGGTTGTTTACATGTGTTGTGCTTGTCGAGGTTTGAGAGAACTCACTTTTTCTCTGATAGTTGATTGAGAAATAACTATTACACCTAATGCTTAGCCTACCCACTAAAGTTTAGTAACTTTAAGAAAATATTAATCACCCATTTAATTAGCAAATTTGGCGTTCAATTTATCACACTTCCAAGGATTCCTCTCTACTTTTTTACTTCCGTTTGTTCATAGTTGTTAATTGTTCACTCAAATTACCCTACTTGACATTAATTGTCAACAACTTTTCATTCATTTATTGTTTCAAAAATCTCTATATCTACAAATGATTAGAACACCATTTTTGTTCGTTATCAAGTTCTTTACTGTATCACTTCCGGTGGAATCAACCCCAACTCTCAGTTGAGTTTATACTTGTTAGCGATCGCCTACACTTTGAATCGAATGAAGTTTAGTTGATCGTTATCAGACGCTTAAGCGATTCATTTAACTTTGTTGACTATTACCAGAGCGAACCACATATCAAAGGAGGGACATCATAGAGTGGTGTTCTGCCATTTTTAAATCTTTTCTCCACTTTTGTGTATCTATTTCCATCAAATTCATTTTTAGCCATCAATAACTAGAAAAAACACAAAACAATTAATATTTAGCCTCTTCTTCTACTTAAGTGCCACAAAATCATAAGGAAAAAGGTTTCAAATAAGTCAAAATTCTCGGCTCATCACTTGCCTACTGGTGGATTTTGATAGGTGTCATCACGAATCGAGAAATGCATTCGTGATAACTTGGTTTATTTATTACTTTCAATTATTCACAAATGTACCTTCTGGGTCTATGTGATTCTAGTTAGGCTATAGTTAGTTGTTTACTGTTTTGCACTCTCTAGACTTATGTTCTATATATTTAGGGTTCAAATTATCATTTCACTCTTATGACCTCTAGTTGTTAAAACTTTATCGCTTCTCATGTTGCCTTTACTTTTCATGCTCAGCCGGCCTGGATGCCTACTGGTACAGACTATCTTCCAGCTTGAGTGTTGATGAAAGATTTTTTTTCTCTAGAGGAAATAGATATTTCCTTGCATATAATCTTCAAGTGATAATTACCTTCCTTAGGTATTTTGAATATCTACACACAATGCTTGAATAATATTGACATGACCAGGAATAGGTATTTACTCTTTGAATAACTCTTTTGATTGTTGGATATCTCTTTTGATCTTTTCCTTTTTTTTTCTCTAGAAATTCTTGTACATAAATAATTAAATCCTTGATTCTTGCAAATTAATTAAGTAGCTTGCAGATTCTTTTTCTTTTTGAAAGAGAAATTTGAGATTATTATTTTCCTTGCTTATGGAACTTCTTTCTTTAATGTCCTTGAGTAAATGTATGTCCCTTAATTTATTTAATTTTCATCATATCAATCATGTCGACAAGTCATGAAGAAGATACATTTTTGCATCTTTTTGTAGATCTTAGTAAATAAAATATTTTCATAATAAAACTTGTACATAGTAACTCAATAAATAATCTTCAATCATCTCTTTCATATAACTTGCATTCGTAGCAGACATTTTTATTCCCATTGAAATCTCTAAACTCTCTTTTCGACTTGTACAAATATGAGCTCTTGTTTAAGCAATCCAAGAGAATGTCACGATCTTCTTCATTTCACCTTGGATCTTGATTTATATTATTTCAAATGTCATCACATCCATCTTCATCAATTAAGCTTTAATCACTCTGAATATGGACTCTTTAGTGAACTTGAGACTTTGAATATATCTTGATACTAAATTACTATTAAATTTTCCTTTAGTAACAACTTGATGATCTAAATCATTTTATTTGATAGATTTTTTTTCATCGGATTATAGTGAATATTTTTTCAATGATTCTTGCATCGTGAGTTGGACATGTCGTTTTCTTACACGTCTTCTCTTTTAATTTCATCTCATTATATCTTCTTTTCCATGTATGTCTAGATCTTCACGAAACCTTCCTTTCATAAAATAAACATGTACCAAAAGTAAATACCACAAGTACATGTCCTATTCAATAATTATATTGGTTTTTTTATCATCAAAATCAAAAAGTTAAACCTTGGAAACTTAAGAGAACTTTCTTCGTATAATAAAAATGTACCAAAAATCTTAGCTCTTCTTTGAAGCTGAAGAATCTCTCTTGTCTGCAACTCTCTGAATTTCAGTGTTCCTTTCTAACTAAGCACTCTTAGTTCTTTTAAAAAGATAAATATATATGATGCTATTCAATAACTCTGATTTATTGGATATTCATTTTGTTTTCTACAAAGTTGATCTTTTTCTCAACTTTGAATTAGAATTAAGTTTTCCTAATGTGCTTATAATTTAATTATGAGGAACCCATGTTACTTAATACTCCATCCTATTCAAAAAGTATGGCCTAATTTGATTTGGAATGAAGTTTAAAAAAGAAAAAAAACTTTAATTTTGTGGTTTCAAATTAAAGTTAGGTCAAATTTACCAAAATGTCACGTAATCTTGTGGTCTAAAACAAGCCCATGTAGAAAGTTATTAAAATGTTATCAAAAAAAGAATGGATCATTCTTTGTGAAACAGACTAAAAATAAAATATGAACATTCTTTTTGAAACGGATGAAGTAGTAATTTATTAATTTAGTAAAATGTTGCAATAGAAAAATGAGAAAACACACGAGTGTGATGGGAGAGAGAATGTCTGAGGAAAAAGTTTTTCCCGGTCCAATTCGAGTGAGAGATAGAAAATGTTCAGGAAGTTGTTACTATCCACAAAATTTTCCATTGCAACATACATGTCGAATATTATACACAATGTTCGATGGAATTATGAAGAAATTAACCCAAGATGTGATCACTTCTATTATTTTGAGACTTGCAGTGAAATCTCTATTGCGATACAAGTATCTCCAAAACTTGGTGTACTCTATTTTATCAATCTTCATGTGAAGCTCCCCACCACCACCAAAGAGGAATTAATCTGTTAAAAGGATCCTTCGAAGAAGAACCTAATCAGTATGAAAAAGTCTTATCTTTTCTTTCTGGTTGTGATGATGATCATTATCCCATTTCCCTAAGTATAGATGTTTGGTAGTGCGACTCATCTTATGATGGGGCCTTACAATGGTCTAATTGTCCTGTCTGATGATGAACACGTTGTCTTACTGAATCCATCCACTAGGAAATACACCCTGCTTCAACCCAGTCCATTTGAAATATGCCCTCCAGGGTTCGACCATTATATTCGTGGTCTAGGTTGTGGCATTGACTTGACGATGAATGACTATAAATTTGTTAGGAATAATGAAATTTCTTCAGATCCTTCCAAGGATCCTTGCATGAGAGGGAACAAAGTTGAGGTTTATGAGTTGAACATTGATGCATGGAGAGAAGAGTACTATGAAGAGGAAAAGTTGCCCTCTGTGAATTGGTCTCCTTGTTCGGAATTATTTTACAAGGGAGTATGTCATTGGTTTGCAAGTGGAGATGGAGAGGTAATTCTTTGTTTTGATATAAGCAGTGATACTTTTCGCAATATCAAGATACCTCGTACTTGTTTTTTTTTCTAATGGACTCTTGTTATGGCCTTGTTATATTAAATTATTCTCTCATCTTGATTTGCTATCGTGATCCAAGATCTGAGATTGATCCATTAACGGATGTCATTCATATTTGGACAACGAAAGATTACGGCGTAAATGATACTTGGATTTCGAGATACACCATTACACCTCTTCCTACTCAATCCCTTTTAACAATTTGGAACCATTTATTACTCCTCAAACCAAAAGTGGACAATTGATATACTACAATTTTATATCAGATGAAGTAAAGGAATATAATTTACATGGATATCCAGGAAGCTTGAGGGTTATAGTTTACATGGAATCCTTGACTTCAGCTCTACAGGAAAACAGTCAAGGTACACAGACTGAAGAGATTTTAAAAATGGTATACCTCTTCACTTCCTAGTACCAAGATTTGGTATTTGTTTATTTGTGATAACTAGCTAAGATATATAAGAATTGAAAACTTGAAGAGTGGGTTCAATTTATTAACAGTTGGGTTGTTCCATATTTAATTCAAATTGACAAAAAAATTTGCTTATCACGAGTAATGGGAATAACGTTAGCTATTATATGAAGGGTAGCAATATTTTTTTTTTTTTGACTACCATATCATCGAAGTTGTAAAAAACATAGATAATTATCTTATATAATACCTTATCAAAAATATTCAAGCATCTTATTACCCTCTAAATAATTCTTAACCAATATTATTAAATTATTTTTTGTCCACCTTACATGGAGAGTTTATGCACGCTTTTAAAGAGCGTAACCAAACTAAACGAACAAATATAATTTTATTTTACAAGTATTATGCTATTATATATATTTTCTTCATTTTGATGAATACTTTGAAGAATAAGAAATGCTCTCATCTTTTGTCTCCCTATTTCTATTGCTATCATCTTTTATATTTCTTGTCTTGTTTTACTTTTGTTTTACAACACGTTGTTAGCACAAGTTGCTCATTCTTCGTCAAGAATCAATGGTAGGTGATTTTTATGAATTATCCTAGTAATTTTGTTGGTTGCATGATATATTTCTTATCCTATATATTATTTGTACTAACAAGCTTGTTTTGTAGTTATTCTAAAACGATTAGTAAATTATAATAATCTTCATAATCAATGTTAAGAGGGACTATTAAAATGTTTGAATTTATTTTAACTTGGGACTTTTATATGATTCTAACATGTTATTCTAATTAGTTGTTTTTTTTCATTTATCTTGTATATTAAGTAAAGTTTAGTTTATATTTATGAATTTCAATAATTATTTTTTGGTAATGCATTTGGTTTATTAAGGCATTGGTTGAGGGTAGGATGTTGAATTCAGGTTTCACCGCACCAAGTGGGTAAGACATTGAGTTAAAGTTTTGGTGCACCATGATGATGGGTTTAAGTTCCATTGATTATGACCAAAGGCGTCTTTATATGGGTAAAACATTGGGTTTAAGTCCTAATGCACTATAGTGATGATATGATGATAATTAACATAAGGTTTTATACTTTTGACTGAAAGTCATGAAATTTACCCAATTAATTTTCTCCATTATATCATGTGAATGTGGTAGCAGTGTATTTATATGTCTAAGAAATGATAAGTGGTTGAATGTATGAATATTGGTATGGTAAAATGTTAATGGTCATTATATTGATAATTAAAAGGAAGAACATTATAGGTTCTTACGATGTTCCTTCAAATGTGAAGGTAATTTTGTCCATTAAAATTTTATAAAAGGTTATTGGACACATTTTTTCTTAAGATGGTCCTTCAAATGTGAAGGTAATTCTTAAAGGTAATTTTTATCCATCAAAGTAGTATAAGAAGTTGGACACATTGTTGTTGGTGCAACCCAACTTAAAAAGTTTTGTAAATCCTCCATCAAAATAGGAATACAAAGTGGTAGTACATTTGTTACATTTGACCTCTTAAAGTGATGTTAAGGTGAGTCACACAATGTCAAAATATGACAATGAATTTCTAATAAAAACCTATGTAACATGTACAATTGGTTATGGTCCATTTCTTGAAGAAAATATGACTTGTGTTCGTATGGATAAGAACATATTCATGTATTGTTGGATGAATGTCATATCTCACAGTTACAGGAGGTTGAGAGATTGAAAGAAAATATTTTGACATAAATAGTCAGTTTGACCATGTATATATTTTTGAGTACTACACAATATTGTGGTATGTTTTATAGTGAACTATTGGAGGACATAAGAAAGAAAGAAATCTTTTATGTGATGGTTGTGGCCATGACCAAAATAATGTTGTTGTGTGGCAACATAAATTTGTCATTGATTATCAAGAAATAAGTTTTGAATGAAATAATTTTACCCATGAAACTTTGAAGGAGATGGTCACTATAAGAATGGTATTGTGAAATTTGAGGTAGTACACAAACTTAATTAAGAGTTTGGAAGAACTAATTTGTTACTATCCATAAATGAAAATAGGTCATAATATTGAGGTTGTAGTAAATTTCAAATTCTTTTTTTTTAGCTTTGGAGCAATTGAAAAATAAATTAAATTGAGGCCGTAAATTATTGAAATATTACATATCTTCGGACTACTACAATCAAAATGGGTTACGAATATTTACATAAAAGGTTACCCGCCTTTCTCTTGTTTGCTGCATATAAATACATGCATGACAATGACATAACATACAAAAGTAAACTAGAAATTTACTAGAATAAAAATCATTTGGTATAATCATTGACCATTTCAGTTCAAGTTTGATGCAAAAGAATTGAGAATTCCTGTCGTTATATGTTGAAGAAAGAAATGTTTCTTCAAGAATTCTCATGTGTTGCTTGCTCTATTGATAAAATGATCATTGTACCAGTTAAGGTTGAAATTGTATCCCTTAAAATTATTTAAAACATCTAAAAAGGTGAATATGAGCCCGTTCACTTGCCATGTGAACCGCTTACTATTATGATTTAATAGATGCATCTATGATATGATAATGTACATTTGTATCAACTTACAAATTGGTCTTTCTAAGGTTGTTTGCTCATATTGTTAAATTAAGAGCATAGTTCCAAACAATAAAACCATGTTGATAATACTGGTTGATTCAGTAGAAATTATTTGCCTCCAATTATTGCTAGACCATTTAATTGTGAGACCAATTCTCTCAAATAAAATTTGGTATGAGATGAGTTTATTTAACATGTGTGTATCAAGCTAACAACGTTTTTCCATCGCAATTCGTTCAGGGTCAGGAACCAAATAATTTTGATATAAAAATGTGATTTGTGCGTATATGATGTTATTACTCCACCATGCAAAAGATGGATTCCAAAATGAGGTTGGGGGTAAATGCTAGATATCCTTACATTAGATGGATATATGATTAGCAGTTGGGATTGTGTGTTTGATGAATTATCTTGATCCTCTTTAAAAAAAAGTGAACTTGAAGTTCAAGAGATAATTCATTTGCAAAATGTTGTAAATAATTTGTTAGATGTATTTGTTGATCCAATATTTTGATTAAGCTGCAAATGCTCCATTAAATAGTCCTCGGAGGTCAAAGTCTATGATACGCCAAAACTGTGACAGACCAATCGATTTCAAATGTAAAACTCCTTGAGGAAGGAGAGGAGAAAATTATCATAATGGTCCTGATAACGAGGCAAGTTATTTGAAAGAGCACGATGACATAACACTTCATAAAACCTTGGCATATGCGCAGATACCTGAAAATAAAAAAAAAATGAAGAGATCTCGATAAGTTATGTCGTGTTGGAATTGAATCAAGATAATCGTCAATGGTATATTTGATATGAAGTAGCACATAGTGCTAAAAATGGTTATGAGGATCTTAAATTCAAATTTGTCATATACAGTGGACAGATAAATGATTGCACTATTCAAGTATATTTTGTTTCACTTATAAAAGTGATGTTTTTGATCTTACATTTAATAGATCAAAATATAATGTCAGTGTGGTACAAATAAATCATTGTGTGAAAGTATAACAATAAGATATAAAGTGTGGTTTGTGCATTAGGCATAAAGGGTTCTCGAAAAGAATCCTGACATTATTAATGAAGCTATATTCTCCAAGTGGTGGATGATTGTTTTAGTCTGGCAATAGATGAAATACTTGAATATGCATAATGAACGATTATTACATCTAACCAGACTAAGTCGATTTTATGTAAATCCTTCGAGGATTTAAAAGGTCTTAAAACAATTCTATTGAGTACCCTATGATTTTGAGAGTCCTTAACATCGTGAAAGAGTTTTTTGATGTTATAAAATAATTTAAAATGTCGTGTATAAATGAAATTGGTGCACTTACATTGTTGGTTGTGAACCTACTAGAAGATTATTTGATATACACAACAAAAGTTATGTGAAGGGATTGACATATTATCGTTCAAGCTATGCCAAGAAACTAACAGATCAAGTGACTCAATACATAGAAGATATGTGATTTTCTTTGAGAAGAAAAAAGCAAGCTTCAATAAAATTGTAATGATCAGTCTCTGAGTCAGAAACTATTTGATTATATAGATGCAAAATATTTGTGTGATCTACATAAAGCTTGATCGTAAATAGGCTATTTGTTTACATATGGAGGCACAACAATATCTTGGCATTCAAAGAATAAAAATTAGTAACCACTTATTCAAATCATACAAAAATAACATTGATCATGAAGTAAGTCACGTGTGTTTTTGGTTGAAATCATGACCTATCATATTCAGGAAGTATGTGATTTTCCTTTAGAAAAGAATATTGTAGCCAACATATACAAAAATAATATATAGCTCGATTGAAAGGGTGATATAATCAAAGGATATCGACAAAATATATTTCACAGAAATTCTTTATCACACATGATCTTCAAAAAAATAGTGATATAGACGTTCAAAAGACTCGTTCAATTGATAATCTTGTAAACACATTCGTTATGGATTGTCAATATCAATATTTGAGAAGTTGTGCTGTAAGATTGGAATGCATCCTCTTTGAGATATCAAGTAAAATTTTTTATCAGGGGGAGAAAAATACGTGTTGTACTCTTTTCCTTAACCATGTTTTTATCCCAATTAGAATTTTCTGGTAAGGTTTTTAATGAGGCAACGTTGAAAGCGTACTAAAAAATATGTGTACTCTTTTTCCATCAGTGGGATTTTTTCCCATAAGGATTTTTCTAGTAAGGTTTTAACGAGACATATTATCTGTGGACATCTAAGGGAGTGTTATAAAACAATATAATGTGGATGTCCACTACACCAAGAAGTTACTACATAACCTCCTCCATTCTGAAGATAAACATATCCTCAATAACTTCCAACTTTATAACCATTTCTCTTATAACCTTTTACTTTCATAACCTCCCATCATAATCATGTTAATGTCATGTTTATGACTAGACTTTTGTATGTCTCTATGTCACACTATAAATAGAGTAATAATGTTTCATATTGTATACATTTGAAGATTTCATGAATACTTTAAAGAATAAGAAATGCTCTCATCTTTTATCTCCCTATTTCTATTGCTATCATCTTTTATATTTCTTGTCTTGTTTTACTTTAGTTTTACAATATTTTTCTAATTATTTTGACTTTTTATCCTTTTTTTTGGTTTTTCTTTCATCTTTATAGCTTCTGACTTTGAATGTAATTTTTACTGAAACTCCACCTCTCATTTTTACTATTGTTAGTTTAACTCTCTTCAATTTTAAAATTATATCTGAATATTTTATTACATTTCGAACAATCTGATAAACCCATTAAATTTCAAGATAATTAGTATAAGTATTATTTAGTTCTTTTATCCAAATTTCAATTAAACCTTTTACTCTCGGAGAATTTTGATTCTTTCAAAATTATCATCTCTAGTTTTAAAGTTATATGAAAATGAGATAAAATTTTAATTTTTTTTAGAAAAATAATTAGTTTTGTTATCATTAACTCAATAAAGTCTAGAAAATAGTATAATTTTGAAAAGAAAGAAATTTAACCGAAGAAGAAGAAGAACAAAGAAAGAAAATGGAGGGAGGGGTTTAACTTGACGTGGAGGTGGGGTGAGGTTAGGGCGGGAGGTGAAGAAGAAGATGAAAAGAGAAATAAAGAAAATGGAGAAAGGGACAACTTAATAGGCAGGGTTGGAAGATGAAACAAAATTTAAAATGAAATCAAAATTAAAATAAGCCAAAAAGTAAGATAGAGAAATAAAGAAAAACTTAAAATGAAAAAAAATAAATATTTCAAATTAATTTAATATGTGTCAACAATAATTGATATGTGATAACATTTGTCATTTAAAATTTGGAATTGATCAAAAAATGATATAATAATATATGTTTGAAATTGTTTAGGGGATATAGGACGCTCGTGTAATTAAGATATCTTTTTTAAAATTTTGGACAACTTCAGATATTACTTTATGTCTTTTTACTATTCGGAATAAAAACACGACCTCGATCTATTCAAAAGAAAGTTAACGAATTTAGGCAGATCCATCAATGTCATTTTTCTATTCTTATCTAGACTATGTCAAAGTCAAAGACAACCCCAAACTTCATGGTCAAAATCTGAGATAATTAACGTTCCCTGGCTACCCACAAATAAACGAAAAATATATTTGACACGATAAAAAATTGGCTCAAAATGACACGGTCTTACTATTTCAGGGTAAGATCGTAATTTCAAAATAATGGGAAGGGTGATAGGGTAAATTCATTATTTTATTGTACCCAAAGTATCCTCTAAAGTAAATCATTTTAAAATCTATTGAACCACTACCTTTTGAAATTGAAACCACTTTTGACTTTTCTATACTCTTTTCTTTGCAAACCACACTGTCCAAAATTGATATATTAACTCCAATACTCTATTGAGATTTGGGAGCATCATATTTCTATCAAATTTTTGGGTATTTCTCCATTCTTCTTTATTTTAAAAGCCCTTTATTCGTTCATAATTTTCATTTGAAAAATTAAATCAACAACAATACTCTATTGGGAGCACTATGTGTTCGAAATTTTTGGTCATTCTCTATTTTTCTTCATTTTGCAACAACTCTCTATTTTTATTGATATTTTCATTTCATGACAAGTACGTCTATGTTGTTTTATGGATTAAAAACAAGTTATATATTCAAGTTGGCAAAAATGTGCTAATTTGACCATTGAAGTTAGCTTAAGTTTATATCAAAAATACAAGAATTATTATGATGTTGGTGCAAACTTTAGAAGATTGAAATATTCGAACAGATGGTGTGAAATTATGCCAGGAAAGTAATGGGGAATCATTAAGTAATTCTGTTCATTGAAGTTTTTGTTGGAAATTAATGAAAGATTAACTTTTATGGCAATTTTGTGGTGTTAATTTTAATATAGGATTGCATGTATATTTGTATTGGGTCTTATTTTATGCATTTTTCCTGATATTTTTGGTTGGGTCTGTCAACATAAGTACTTTTATTGAGTAAATTAGAATAATAACTTTTTTTAAAAAGGAATAAACAAATTATGTTATGTTATTATAAACAAATATTATTGCATGTAACGCGTTCGAGTTTGGTGAGGTTCCACTTTAGTTATTTTCTTAAAATTACTCTATTTAAAGGGGTGGGGATTTAAATTTCTATTATTTTTTTGTTAAAAAATGTGCAAAATTGTCACGAACCGAGCCTACTGACAAGTCCAAGATTTAGACTCATTTAGAGCTTTATTTATAATGATTTAGTGTAGTCAAATGCTTATTTTGTGGCCATGATTCATGTAAAACCCTTGATTTCTAGGTATATGGATTGAGGAACAAAGCAAGGACACTAATTTGCAAAAAAAAATCAAAGTGAGATGAAAGACTGAAGAAAAGCAAGCATGGTGATTTCCAAGTCCATTTGAAGAGTCTCCGAATGACTATTTGATCGCCTAAAGTTCTAGTGTGTCAAGTCCTGAAGGAGAAAACCAAGTTGATGAGAGAAAGGAGCAATCATCGGATTTTTGATATGCGATGCAGTGTTGGATCACCCAAAGTTACAGACCTTGAGGATGCTGAAGGCCAAGGCAGAGGAGTGACGGAACTGATCAAAGGGAGGATCACCGAGCTAAGCAGTGAGCCTGAGTTATTCCATCAAATGTCTCTTAGCAACATATTTTTGGTGACTGTAAATACATTCTTGAACATTTAGTTTATCATGAATTTATGATTATAAAAAATTTCAAAACATATTGAATGAGTATTGAGACAAGTTTTTTCTAGTTTTCTTAAGCTTTGAAGAATTGAAGTTTTTCACTTTAAAAAAATTGAAATTGAGTCTTCGAGATTCTTCGAATTGGAACAATGTAGGAACGATGATCTTATCCAGTTAATGGAAACTCAATTTGGTAACGGTTTTTATCTTTTTTATGATGTCTAGCTAAAATCTCAATTCTTAGGGTGTGATTATGTGATTATGAGCAGATTTAGTATATGGCAATTGCTAATTGTTAATTTTAATGTTATTTAGAAGTAAGTTTCAGTAATTGTGGTTAATTTAAGAATTGTAGATGCAAATGCAGCTCTACCTTCGTGCTTTTAGCTTACTCGAGATAGATATTTTAAAACCAAAATTATTGATTGATGGTCAGTCGGTATTGGGTTGACATGGGTTCAACTTGAGAGAATCTATTCTAAACGCAATCCCACATATTCAGCTTGAGAGAGTGAATATCCTAAGGTGTGGGCTAATCTTATTTTGCTTTCTTGATTATGTTTGATAGAAATCAACTTGATTCGGGATAAATAGTTTTAGAGAAAATTTATTCCCTCTATGGCTTCGCTTACTCACTAATATACAACTATTTCCTAAGAGTCGTAATTACCCATTTATCTATATTAGCCAATAATCAAATCACATCCCAAGAACCTAATTCATTGTTGTTATTTCATATTGTTTGTCGTTGTTGTAGTTGACAATTTTAAACCAAACCCCCCCATTTGATATTAATGTCATTCCTTAATTTGTATTATGTTTTTATTCAACAAAGTCTATTCCTGTGACTGATTTGATCATATTCATACTTCTCGATTGATCCTCAAACACGTATCGCTCATTGTGGGATTCGACCCCAACTCATTTAATTAGGTTAAATCGTTGACACTTAAAATTGGTTGAAGTGTCTTTCATATCGTTATTCGATAAAAATGACGTCGATACCGGGAAGTTTGTTGTTTAAGATTTTTTTTGGTGAAGTTGAATTTTGTTCTTTTAGTCAGAGTTGAATCTACTTACTTTTAGTTTTAGTTTGTTGCTTTGTGTTTTAAAAAAAAGGATATGAGTGTCAATGGAAGCAATGGTACCCAAGTGGGCCACCAAGATGACATCAAAAATTCAAATAATGTCAATAAGCCGAATGCTAATGACCCCAATCTAATGAGTGGAATTGGTGTCATTCGTTTTCCTCTGATTAATTGAACGTTGTGTTCCACATTACAAGCACCATGCTGCAACTCTTGCAATTAAAGGGTTGTTTGGTGGTTTTTCTCATGAGGATCCACATGAGCATATCAGAAATTTTGTTGATATTTGTAGGCCGTTCTCCTTCAAGAACATATCCCAAGAGTCAGTCTGGTTGAAGTTGTTCACGTTTTCTCTAAGTGGAGAAGCGCGCAAGTGGTTATCTGAAATACCAATAGCCTCCATCACTTCATGGGAAGATATTATCACTGTATTTCAAATGCGATTTTTCCCTCCTTTGAAAATAATGATACTTCAGGACAATATTCAAAGCTTCAAGCGTCTAGCAGCGAGCCAATCCATGAGATTTGGATACAATTTAGGATGTTGATGTTACAATGCCCAACTTATTGGTTTTCATGAAAACGTTTTGCGATAGTAATTTTAGCGAAGCCTTAATTGAGTAAACAAGGGATTAGCTAACCAAATTTATCTAGGAGGTTTGATGCAACAACCTTATGGTATAGCAACCCCACAATCGTATGACAAAATCAATTAGGCATGGTACGCCCGCGAGGATCAAGTCTCTCATATCACTTTCACATTAAGTAAGGAGAAACTTGACAAAGACCAAAGAGAGATCAAAACATGGACAAGATCATGACTCAACTTAACATTTTGTCTAAATATGACATGGGAGATAGTGGTAGGAGTGGCAATGTCGTGATGTTGGGTGTGTAAACCCCAGAGGGGTTAAGTTTTATGCGTTGTATAATGAGAAGGTTAGATGGATTTTGACCCCCATTGGATTCAAGAAACTATAATGTCGGAGTTTGTAAAACTCATAGAGCCATGGACAAATTAGCGTCTTGCCAAGCAGGTCGGCAACCTTGACTTTGTCAGGCGTTGAAACCCCAACTTAATTGGAGGTCCTGTAAAAATTGGTGAGGTAACTAGCCACTCGGCGTGTCACTGAGTGGTACAATGAACAAAACTAATGTCGCTGAAAGGACGAAAATTGGAGAGTTTCAACGGCCAAAAGATTAAAAGTTCAAACTCTTTAACACTACCTCACATTTCAACTTTCCAAAATCACACCCGCACTATATTTTTCTATATTTTTTCATTATTACAAATTTTTAGTTTTTTATTGTGTGTGCGGAGTTGGAATTCTTTGTTGCCTAGCTTTTCAAACTATTTCTTCAATATTAAGGTTGGTTTTCCGAATCCCGCACTTGTATTTAGCAGTTTTTACTCAAGTGCAATTGTTTTGATTTTAGTGATGTGTGTTGGGCCTGTATGAATCGTTGATATGTGCTATTTTACTTGTTTTGAATTCATAATCTTGCCTGTATTTCCTAACTGTTGATTTCCCATATTTAATGCTTAAAACTAATCTAAATTGTGTGGTAATACTAAACCGTTACTGGGTTTAGTAGGGTGAAGTCTGAGTAACCTGCATTTGTGCCAAATTACATATTAGTAGAAGCAAATGTAGGGTCCAACAATATCTGCTCTCATCACCATGGATAATATCTTAGCAGAAGCAAGGCTTGAAGATTGGTGATTCCTCATAGCATTCTAGGATTTGTCCATCATTTCTCATATGTTATTTCATTTTATATTTTATACATTATTGTATGGGTTATGTCCCAAGGCATCGATGTTTTAGATAGTTTTGAGACAAGTGTAATAGACTTCTGCTTTTGATATGAAAACTTTATGTTCTTGAAAATGTTTTTAAGTCCCGCTAATTTCTATTATCTTATGTTAAGAAAGCTAAGTGGCTTGTATGACGCCTCTCGAGGTCTTGTACACCATTTTATATCTAGGGGTACCACTTGTCATAACAAACTTTTTGGTAATCAGAGCACAAGGTTTAGAATGGCTTTAGGATGCCTCAAAACTACATCAAGTAGAGTCTTTTTCATAAGTATGAAGTGCACTATATTCATGAACGAGATCCCATTATATGTTTAGAAAACTTTACTTCATCATTACTCTAAATCGTTCCATATAGTTTAACTCTATAAGGTCTCTCTCCTAATCATTACCCGATGGTCTACATGATATGACTACTCAAAGAGTTTATGATATAATAAATGAGGGAGATAATGTGGATCAAAAAGCTTCTCCTTAGACTCTGATTGACCCTTTGGCTGAAAATGTAACATATGCGGAGTTTAGGATGGATTTTACAGTTGCTTCAAGCCGTGATGGAACAAGCCAATAGGGATGTAGTGGTACCCATGAATCGAAGTATGGTCACGATGATGTCAAAAGTGAGGGACTTTACTAGGATGAATCCTTCGGAATTGTACGGTACTAAGGTTGAGGAAGATCCTTAAGAGTTTATTGACAAGGTCTAAAAGGTGTTATCTATCATGGGAGTGACCCAGTGGAGAAGGAGAAATTGGTCGCTTACTAACTAAAAGGGGTTGCTCAGATTTTGTTCAACTAATGAAATAAAGTGAGATAGGAGGAAGCGGGTCCTATAGAATGGGAAAGATTTAAATATGCTTTTACTGATAGGTTCTTGATATGAGGGAGGAAAAATTTCTTTAGTTTATTAACCTTCGACAATAAAACATGAGCCTGAAGGAATATGCGTTGAGGTTCACACAATTGTTAAAATATGCTCCCTCTATTGTGGCAGACCCTAGGGATAAGATGAGTATATTTGTTTCGGGAGTGCCTTACATGGTAGTGAAAGAATATAGAACTACTATGCTTGTCCATGGACATTTCTCTTCTTATTGGTGCATGCACAACAGATTGAAGAGTTAAAGCTTAGGGAGAAGTCTAGAGAACCAAAGAGAACAAGAACGAATAATGTCAACTTTTCATACCCTAGGTCCGATGTATGGGGTCGTTCAAGTTTCGGCAAATTTTATCCATGCGAGGTTCTTCTACTGTACCTCCAAGGTATAACAATGAAAGGGTATCTCATTCTAAACCTCAAAAGGGAAATTGTATTGGATCCCTATTGCCTACTTGTACTAGGTATGGAAAGAAGCATGAGGGTAAGTGTTTAGCCGGTACAAATGGTTACTTCAGTTATCGTAAGAGTGGTCATAAAATGAGGGATTTTCCAATAAATAAGTCTAAGGTAATAGATGGAAAGCAAGATCCTCTTAGTGGTTTGAGGTCTAATGCTCGAAAACAAAACCAATTATATGCGTTGCGACTCATGGTGAGAAAGAGAGTTCTCCTGATGTGGTTAGTGGCATGTTGAAAGTTTTACAACTAGATGTGTATGATTTAACTGATCTGATTGCTACTTTTTCTTTTGTGACATCATATGTGTTTATGAGATTTTATATGCTTCCCTATGTGTTGTTAGAACCTTTTTCTTTCTCTACCCCTATTGGTGATTCTCTGGTGGCTAAGAGGGTCTATAGAAGATGTCCCATTTCCTTATCACATAGAGTTACTCCTATTGATTTGGTAGAGCTTGATATGCTAGATTTTGATGTTATCCGTGGTATATATTGGGTGCACTCGTGTATTCTATTTATCGTACAACTCGTATAGTCAATTTTAGTTCCTGAATGAGCCTCTCCCTTAGTGGATGGGGGGAAATTGTATGCCTAAGGTTCAGTTTGTTTCCTATCTAAAACTAGAATGATGATTTCTAAGGGTTGGATTTACCATCTAGTTAGGGTGAGGGATATGGATTCTAAACCCTTACTCTTGAATCGGTCCCCATTATGAATGAGTTTTTGGAAGTGCTCCCAGATGATGTACCCGATATTCCTTTCTAAAGAAAAATAGAATTTGGTATTGACATTCTTCCAGATACGCAACCTATTTTTATTCCTATTATATAATGGCTTAGGCAGAATTTAAGGAGTTGAAAAAGAAATTGAAAGAGTTGTTAGATAAGGGTTTCATCTGACCGAGTATCTCTCTATAGATGCTCTAGTTTTGCTTGTTAGAAAGAAGGATAATTCACTTCGTATGTGTATTGACTTCTGACAATCAAATAAGGTGATCATTTACAATAAGTTTCCCATTCTGAGAATAGATGATTTGCAAGATGATGCTTCTACTCTGTGATTGTAATCAACAACACTAGCCTACAGTAGGAGGAAAGCAAACAGTAGGACCAATCTGACGTGCTGTATTGATCTAGATTGAGATCCAATCAATTGGTTCAATGCTTCACAATTTTCTCTCATTTCGTCCAACACACGATCTTGATCAGTGATCTTTTGGAGAACGACTTGAAGTGTGTCCTAAAAATGACTTTTTTAATATTCTCTAGACTTCTTCCATGCGTGCAGAGGTATGTTCCTCCCTTGATGTTTTCACTGGTTTTACACCAGAGATATTTTGGTGGTCAAGTCATGTAGTTGAGATCCTATTGCAGCTAATGCGAAGTCATCCTCCAGATTGTGATCTGCCTCAACTGGATCGCCACCCTTTCCTTCTATCATGCTGAGAGTACTGATACGCTTAAACTTACTTCTCAAATGAGAAGTAAAGCGGTCGCGTCAAGTAAATAACCCAACTAGTGAGGTTGGGATCGTTCCCACGAGGAAAATAGTTTAGACTTAACTTCAACTTGTTATTACTATTGTTCGGTTGACGACTTCCTTAGAAAGTAAAAGCATAAAAGGGGGGTTTGTATTTCCTAATGAGCAAAACTAACTAACAAACTTGAAAGAGACACTTAACAACTTTTAATGTTGAGTTTTAATCAAGTAATCAAAGTAACTAGGGTTTACGTGTTCCCCACAGGTTCATAACTTGATAATTCTAACTATAACAATTCTTTCCTAGTATCTTGCATGCAAAGTGATAAGTTAGGTATTTCTAAATCCTTGGTCCGACATCTAGAAAATCTCACTCCGCACCTTGGTCCGGCTACGTGTGTTGCTTTCCTAACCCTTATCCTTACCTCATATTAAGCATCGTATTCGATATTTGACTAAGTTATTACCTTGTACCAATCAATACTAGCCTATTAGATAGTATACACTAAATCTATGCTAATAGTTCTTTTCCTATTATCTACCTCCTTGGTCTGGCAAATAGCATTAAGGCGAGTTCTAACGTTGATCATCCGTTAAAAAGACTTCTAAGCGAAAGAATTATTAATACATGCAAGACACGATTTTAGAATTGTTATTTTAGCTAGGGTTTATGTCATTATTTGCCTATGGTTCCCACAACCCTAGTTATGGAGTTTAGTTCCTCATAGCCATAAACACAATATTCAAATATGGTAAACAAGAATTCATGTACTTACTTCAATGAGAAAGAATAAAGTCCGAAAATTTGCATGATTAATCACCAAAAATCACTTGTAAGAATCTCTAACAATCAAACACTCAAAACACAAAGTCTAACAATATAATGTTTAATATCACAGAGTCTAACCTCAAA